TATAAGCAAATTATAATATTAAGTAATAAAAAAATAATGCGTACCTCATTATTGAGTTAAATCACCAATATATAGGTGATGATGTAATGGAGAAATTTCTTATAGAAATCCGATGTGATCGATGCAGTAAGTTATAATTGAAATGGTTGGGCATTCTAGGAGTAGGTGATGATGGACTTTTATTATTAATTGAATTGATTTGCGCATAATGAGCCAAAAATCTAATTATACACATTAGCTTTCTTAATCAAAGTTGGTGATTGAGGTCATTATTATAAATAAACATATTGATGGATGGTAGAGAGAGTCGATTAAAGAATGAAATCGAATATATGTTCCTCCTAACTAATTAAATGTGAAAAAGAAAATTCCACTGGTCTTACATTATTATGAAACTTCTTTTTGAATTGCAAAATGTTTAAGTAAAACTGTCTCTCCCTTTTTTACTTCCTTATTTGTAACATAATTATTTTCTTTAAAACATATAATAACAAAAGCTCAATAATGTACAATTTTCGTAAAAATAAGCAAACTATATAATGGAGTTATAAGTTTACATAAAAAATACATGCATAAAATGATCATACAGTGATAATATAGTCAATAAATTTAAAATAGTAGTTTTATAGACATTAGATGAACCATTAGATGATGTAAATACTCAAGTACTACTAAACCTAATCGCAAAGTTAAATTGCATTGTGAGTGACAAACTCACTTACTCCAACCGTTAGTCATTGCATCCACGACAATAATAAATCGAGTATTATATTAGTTTCTAGTGTCTATAGTAAAAATAAATTTTGTTTGCATTGTATTTGGTGGTTTAAGTTTTATTATATTATTATATTATTATATTTGTATATTATTATGAGTGGTGCGTCCATAATCCATATCCATAACCCGTTTTAGTGGTTGCTCCAAGCCCGAACCCGCACCCGCACCAGAATTCAAATTTCAAATAAGGTCCGCCCATCCTTAGAAAACGGAGCGACAACGGTCACTAAGCCAGCTGTTAATTCGTATTATTTGAATAAACAAAAATAAAAAATGTAACCACCGGTTTTTTTTAGTAGTGGCCTCAATTATAAAAACCCCCCATTACCGCTAACCTTGTGCTCCCACTCAGAAAATTTTCCTCCAGAGCGTCTTTGTATACGCATCTGGTTCTTCTCTCTCCCCTCTCTCTCTCTCTCTCTCTAGGATTTACATCTCTCTTCAATTATAATCTTCTAAAAAACAAACAAAAAAAACTCATCGAAAATGAGGGAATGCATTTCAATCAACATTGGACAGGCCGGAATCCAGGTCGGAAATGCTTGCTGGGAGCTTTACTGCCTTGAGCACGGCATTCAGGTTTGTGCTTAATTTTTTCTCCTTTTTATTTTTAGCCGTCGATCTCTCAGATCCGATGATCAACCGTTTGATTACCTGCAAATTTCTCAGATCTAGGGATTTTTATGCGTTTGTAGTTTAAAGTTAATTATTAAATGTTTATATACTGGTTAGATCTGATTGTTTTTTACTGGAATCGATTGTATTTTGATTTTTTTTTTTAAAATCAAAATGCCTCAGTGCTCTGTTGTTTTGTTTACGTAATTTTGTCAGGATTTAGTGTTTTTTTTTTTTTACGTTATTTCGTTTGAAAAAAATAGTATTATGTTCATAATTTGTGCTTATTTTGTATGAAAATTGAAATGACGAACTGTGCCTATTTCGGATCTACTTTTTAAATCGTAAAATTTTGTTAACTGTTGCTGTGCGTATTATGTGCTTGATTTTATGTGGAAAAAAAAATTCAGTAATTTTATTAGATCGAGACATTTATTAACCTTATTTTCATTCCTAAGGTAGATATGGAAAACTGTGTTCAACCTGCAATCAATTTGAATTGTAACATGAAATTTTTGTAAGGATTTGCTGTTAGTTTAAATGATCATAATTTGAAATTTTGCATAATTGAGCTCTTGATTAGTTTCTGTCTTATGGCGATATCAGATCAACCTGTACCCGGATTTAATTTGAACATGATTTTTCTGAAACTGATTAAATTATGAGATCTGATAACTGTAATTTCAAAATTTGCATAAAATTAGCTGTTATCTGGCTATACATCATATTGTTTTGTTCCTAATTTTTTCTTTTGTTGATGTGTATTTACAGCCTGATGGGCAAATGCTGGGTGACACCACTGTTGGAGGAGGTGATGATGCCTTCAACACCTTCTTCAGCGAAACGGGTGCAGGAAAGCACGTACCTCGTGCAGTCTTCGTTGACCTCGAGCCAACTGTGATTGACGAGGTGCGCACAGGCACATACCGACAGCTCTTCCACCCGGAGCAGCTAATCAGCGGCAAAGAAGATGCCGCCAACAACTTTGCCAGAGGTCATTACACCATTGGCAAAGAAATTGTCGATCTTTGCTTGGACAGGATCCGCAAGCTGGCAGACAACTGTACTGGGCTGCAAGGGTTCTTGGTTCTCCATGCTGTAGGTGGTGGTACTGGATCTGGTCTTGGTTCCCTTTTGCTCGAGAGGCTCTCTGTCGATTACGGAAAGAAATCGAAACTTGGTTTCACTATTTACCCTTCACCCCAGGTTTCAACTGCTGTTGTTGAGCCTTACAACTCTGTGCTGTCTACTCATTCTCTGCTCGAGCACACCGATGTAGCTGTTCTTCTTGATAATGAAGCTATTTACGACATCTGCCGTAAATCCCTCGATATCGAGAGGCCTACTTACACCAATCTGAACAGGCTCATTTCTCAGGTAACTAACTAACTAATGAACAGTTATTGTTTCTTGATTTGTTGTTACCCTTTCGCTGTAACTAACAAAAAATGTTATGTCAGGTTATTTCATCTCTGACTGCTTCTCTGAGGTTCGACGGAGCATTGAATGTGGATGTGAACGAGTTCCAAACCAACTTGGTTCCATACCCAAGAATCCATTTCATGCTTTCATCTTACGCCCCTGTGATCTCTGCCGAAAAGGCGTACCATGAGCAGCTCTCAGTTGCGGAAATCACGAACACCGCATTCGAGCCTTCATCCATGATGGTTAAATGCGACCCACGTCACGGGAAATACATGGCCTGTTGTCTGATGTACAGGGGTGACGTAGTTCCCAAAGATGTGAACGCAGCCGTGGCAACAATCAAGACCAAGAGGACCATCCAGTTTGTCGACTGGTGCCCGACCGGTTTCAAGTGCGGTATTAACTACCAGCCGCCGACTGTTGTTCCTGGTGGTGACCTGGCGAAGGTGCAGAGGGCTGTTTGCATGATTTCAAACTCGACTAGCGTAGCTGAGGTGTTCTCGAGGATTGACCACAAGTTTGACCTGATGTACGCGAAGAGGGCCTTCGTGCACTGGTATGTAGGCGAGGGTATGGAGGAAGGCGAGTTTTCTGAGGCTAGGGAGGATTTGGCTGCTCTTGAGAAGGATTACGAGGAGGTTGGTGCTGAGTCTGGTGAAGGTGATGATGATGAGAACGACGATTACTGAGCATAGCTTAAGGAGCCAACTGTCTTGTTGGTTTTATCAAGTGTTTGTTTTGTTTGTTTCTGTTAAATGTCGTGCTGCTTTTGCGTTGCATATGTTTATAACGCTGTTGCTATGTGTGTGTATCTTTTGATGTTTTTACAAGACTTGATGTATTTGTTGATGTTTCGTAATCCGATTTGCTTTATATTGGTCTTGATGATGCGTATAATTTGCTTTTATCTATTCAAACTGGTAGCTGATACATACAATAAGTCAAATGTTTCCTTTCCATATGTAGAACAAAATTTCAGGACGAGATATGTCTATTGATGTGTTTGTGTAAGTTCGATCTAAAAAAAGTTTCTGAGAAGTGTTGGCATTGTGTTAGCTCGATTTAGAAAATGAGTTGTTGGAAAGGGAACTTCATCAATGAAATATTAGCCCAATGTAGGAAAAAATGTTGACGAAAGAGCTTGACCTAAAAAGATTCGGATTGAACTCTTATCGCTGACCGTTATGGTATTCTCTTACGCCGACAATTATGTCATCCTTGCATGCTCGCTCGTTTTTTCGAGCTTGACTTAAGAAGTTTTGTTTGAGGAAGGAAAATTTGGTTAAAGTACATACATGGAAAATAATACACAGAAAGAGGTGATGTAGTGGATATAAAGGGACGAATACTCCATCAAGTTTTCTTTGAGCTTGATTTGATGAACAGTTAAGTCGAATTCGAATGAGTTTTAGTTACAACCGAATACGAATCAAGTTCGTTTAATTTGAATAAAAATATGTGTTCAAGCTTAAGGATCCTTTATGTCAACAAACCGAATTAGATAAAAGTTTTTTCAAACAATCTCGTATTGAGTATCAAAATAAAGTAATAAAAAGAAGGGTAAATTATGGTTACCTATGAGGAAATATCAAATTACGAAAAGCTCCATCATATTTAAATAATTACAACCATCTCCTTAACTATGAATCTCCTTCATTTCACTATTGTAGTGAAAAATTTAGTGGAATTTTCTAGATTATGTAGAATATTCTCCAGTTTGTACTCGTTTTATCCGATTCGAGCTCCACATTTTGAAACAAGATGATCATAAGACGTGATCTCTTTACTTGTAAACATTAGATTGTGATGCATCCGAAACTGCAATTTTGCGCAAAACGAGTACAAACTAGAGACTAGAGAACATTTCACGGAAATCCAGAAGATTCTGTTGAATTTGACACCGCAATAGCGAACGTGTAAAAAAACTCATAGTTTATGAATAATTGTAATTACCTAAATATAATAGGTCTTTTCGTAATTTGATCTTATCTCATGGGCGGTGACCGTAAATTTACCCTAAAAAGAAATATAATATAATAACACTTTAAAAGGCAACATTTTTTTGTAGAACAAGCCCAATTAAAAACTCATGAATTAAATGGGCTTGTAAGCCCAATATCTTTGATCCATGTTAAAAATTATTTACACTATTTAAAAAGGGTTTAGGGTTTGCTTTCGCCTTCTTCATTTCCTCTGCATTTTCTCTCTCTGCTTCAGCCGACGGTAGCCTGACACAATGGTTCACGTTTGCTTCTACCGCAACTGTAAGCTTTCTCTCTCTTCCGATCTCTCTCTATATTCCTTCATTTCCATGAATCCGAACATGTACATTTTGTCGATTTTTAAATTTTACTTTTTTTTAATAGTTTTTTTATTTGATTTAATATTCGATTTCCTGGTGTTATAAATCTGGTTAAATAATCATTGCTATTAAAATGAAAATTGATTGCTTTTTTGAAATTGTTTTTTTACACCTGATTTGTGATAGATAGATACACTCTTTTGATTTTATTTCCTCCGTGTTATTATATATTATATATATATATATCTGATGTTTAGCTGTTCAGCTTTTAAAAGTTTAATCTTGACATTTTAGTTTCAAAAATTGCCCCTTTTTAAAGCATTTTGCCCACATAATTTCTTGCTTCAATCGAATTAGAATAAATTTTGCTGATTTTATTTCGTTTGCTGTTAGTTTCTATTATTGAATGATGTAATTTTAAGATATATATGCTTATTTAAAAATATTTTTGTTATAGATGGAAGATATTAAAGTAATTGAGATGTCTGAAACTTTCTGCTGCCTCTTTTTTTGCTTTATATTTTTATTAATTAGGACATTTTTATTTCAGATTTTTTTTATTTTGTTTGCTGTTAGTTTTCTCCGATTGAACTTTACTATATAATTATTTATAATTTGATTTATTTGTTATGTAGATGGGAAGACATTCAAGAAGCCTCGACGCCCGTACGAAAAGGAGCGTCTGGATGCAGAGCTTAAGCTCGTTGGAGAATACGGGCTCCGTTGTAAGAGGGAGCTATGGAGGGTGCAATACGCACTGAGCCGTATCCGTAACAATGCAAGGATGCTTCTCACTCTAGATGAGAAAGACCCAAAAAGAATCTTCGAGGGTGAGGCCCTTCTTCGAAGGATGAACAAGTACGCTCTTTTGGACGAGAGCCAGAACAAGCTCGATTACGTGTTGGCACTCACTGTTGAGAACTTTCTAGAACGCCGCCTTCAGACACTTGTGTTCAAGGCCGGCATGGCTAAATCGATTCACCATGCTCGTGTTCTCATCAGGCAGAGGCACATTAGGTAAATTTGTTCGACTTTGTTTATCTATGTAACCTATCTTTATTAGTTGTGTCGTGTACGTATTTGTGTGAAAAAATAGTTTCGAATTGGAATCCGTGTTTATGGATTTTTATTTTCTAATTGTTGAAGAATATTCTTTATGCTGTTCCAATTTCGAGGGTTGATGCATGTAAATATTTTTTGATTTTGAATTTTTTTTTTCATTTTTTTGAAAAGCAGTTTCGAATTAGAATCCGTAATGGTTTATGGAATTTAATTATTTTATTTTTGAACTGGTGAAGAATATTCTTTATGCTATACAGATTTCGAGGGTTGATGCATGTAAATATGTTTTAATTTTGATTTTTTTTTTTTCATTTTTGTGAAAAGCAGTTTCGAATTAGAATCCGTAATGGTTTGTGGAATTTAATTATTTTTATTTTCTAATTGTTGAAGAATATTCTTTATTCTGTTCCGAATTTGAGGGTTGATGCATGTAAATCTTTGTTGTTAATTTTGATTTTTTTCTTCTTTCGGAAAACTCGGTTAATTGTCGTGTCTTGTGAATGTCAAATGGTTTGAGTGCCTTACGTGTTGTAACTCCGACAAATTCGGGGATGAATTTGCTGTTAACTCTATTTTTCGGTTTTGTATGCAATTAGGGTTGGAAGGCAGGTGGTGAATGTCCCGTCTTTCATGGTTAGAGTTGACTCTCAGAAACACATTGACTTTTCTCTCACTAGCCCGTTCGGTGGTGGTCGTCCCGGTAGAGTGAAGCGAAAGAACCAGAAAGCTGCTTCCAAGAAATCTGGCGGTGGTGGTGAAGAAGAAGAGGACGAGGATTAAGCATTTCCTTTCAGTTATTAAAAAAATCGTTTTAACTTGTTTTGCCAATTTCATGTTTGAAGCTCCGTGGAGTATCGGTTGTGTCGACTTTTATCCCGTTCTTTTTTTTAATCTCTTGTTTTAGCCTTTTTGTTGGTATGAGATGACAGTTAGCAAAGAATTTTGTTGTTTGAGTTGCAATATCAATGACTATTTATAGGTTCTGATATATTTTGATTATGCATTTAATCATTTTATAATATATCTAAATGGCATTAATCACTTAATATGTTTCTTAATAGGAGAGTAATTTCTTCAATTGTTTTTTTTCCCGCCGTATTTTTTAAGAAATACAGGTGGTGGTGGAGTGGGTTTCTGTAGTACTACACCATAACAAAGTTCCAAATAATTTGTTGTAGTTAGAAGTTTATGAAAATAAAGTGTTTTTTTTTTTTTTATCGAAAAAGAGGTATACCCTGAGTGTATCTAGGGGTGAGAAAAAAAAACCGAGGGACCGAAAATCGAAAAAACCGATCTGAGGGTGTGTGCATACACGCTTTTCTATTTTTTGTGAGCCGAAGATATCTGTTCGTACTCGGTTTTTCACGCACTAAACCGATCTATATATATATATATATATATATATATATATATATATATATATATATATATATATATATATATATATATATATATATTTTACTTGAATAAATTTCAATTGATTTTTGGGCCTACGTTTGGGCTGGTTTTTGGGCCAAAATGAGCTCAAAACCGAACCGAAAACCGAACCATTATTGATACCGAACCCAGAATTTTATGAACCGAGAAGGAACCGAAACCGAACCGAAACCGAGAAGGAACCGAACCGCAAGAAACCGATCGGTTTGGTTTTTGGTTCCTTAGGAACCGAACACTTCGATTCCGGTTCCGGTTTGTGGCTAAAACCGAACCGAACCGAACCGTTCTCACCCCTAAGTGAAGCTCTACCGATAAGTAACCAAATAATTAAATAATTAGTAAAAAAAAAAAAGAGTTTTCGATTAAATTTAAATTAATTCGTAATCTGATAATGGAGTGTACATGTGGAATATTACAGCATGCTGCATGGAACAAACAAATACTACTCTTGCAAAGACATGCCTAAGTTCCCTTACACTCCCTATACCTAACAACTCGTAATCGATCTTAATACCGTGTTTCGGTACAAACCCCCTTTCGATCTTAATTGAAACACGTGCTTACAAGATCCGAGTATGGTGCTTTGGGATATTCTGCCATTGCCTGAGAGACGGACGAGTGAGTGCACTTTGAACGGAAGGTGCTACTAGTCTCTTGACCTCAGCCAATAATAGCATGTCGGAATCGATACATTTAGATTCCGCTAATTCTTGAAACCTTATGTCCTAAAAAATCCAATTTTAACACTACGCCAAAACACATTTCAGGCGACATTTTATTGCGACGTAAAAACCTTGTTTGCGACGGAATTTATAATTTTGCGAAGACATTTGCCGGGAAAAAAGTCAAAAAAGTGACCGTCGCAAATATTTGCAACGTTTTTCCTTTAAAGTCGCAACCGTTTGTGACGATTTATTATAACCGTCGCAATGCTGTAATTTTTTCGTCTGCTGATTTATTGCGACAGATTTGACAATACGTCGCATATTTCGTCCTCCAACCGCGACACATATATATCGTCGCAAAGGTGTTGCGACTATATTTTCAGAAAAGATTTCGTCGCAATTTTTTTTTAGCTTTGCGTCTTTTTTTTACTAAAGTCGCACAGTTTTTGTTACGACATTGCGACGAATGTATAGCTATTGTCGCAATTTTTTTTTTATGCGATTGCGACTAATATTCTAAAAACGTCGCAAATATATAATTTTTTTTTAATATTTTACTGATTTTTATTTTAATTGTTAATTGACCTGTAATAATAAACAATTTCAATATAATTAAATACACAAAAACATTAAACAACTCGCTTAAATTAAATAATCCAAAACATTCTTCCAAAACATAAAATCATCAAAACGTTCCCAAACACAAAATCATCAAACACAAAATAATCTAAAAATTCTATCAAAACACAAGATAATCCAAATAACAACTTAAATTCATTCAAACATGAAATAAAAGTACCCAAAACCAATGTTGTAGAGGAAACTAGTAGCCGTCGGCGGGTGGATTCTGGGAATTGAACTCGATACCTTGAGCCCTAAAATATTCGACCATGGATTTCATGGTACTCTGCATTTGATTCATCTTGTTTTTTAAAGTCTGATTGTCTTCTTTCAAATGCGCTATTTCTTCATCTCTAGCAATAGAAGATAAGTTGGACCTCGCCCCTTTCTTTGAACTTGAGCAACCAAGTCCTAGTCTTTTTGTTTTTCCTAGTACTTGTTCGCAAGCTATCATGTTGGCGGTGCTTTCATCACTCCCATCATTCATACATTTTTGATAGACTCTGTTCAAATCCGCTTGAGTAATATAAAAAAGTGTATTAACACTAATTACTTGATACGAAGTATAAAATAAAATAATATTTCAAATAAAAATATACCAACTAAGTTGCTCAACCCAAATATATTCAAGTAAACAAAAACACAATAATTCATATATAAAGATCGACCAACTACATTAAACAACCAACATAAACAACCAACATATATAAATACACCAACTACATTGCTCAACCCAAAGATGTTCAAGTAAACAAAAACACAATAATTAATGTATAAAGATCGACCAACTACATTAAACAACCAACATAAACAACCAACATATATAAATATACCAACTACATTGCTCAACTCAAAGATGTTCAAGTAAACAAAAACACAATAATTCATATATAAAGATCGACCAACTACATTAAACAACCAACATATGCTCAACTAGGAAATAAAATAACAATTCAACAAAAATAAGCATCAACTTCATTAGAGAACCCAATATACACAATTGCTCAATTCACGTAAAGATCCACCAACCACATTACACAATTCATCGATACCTAAGTACGAAATAAATCCATAATCCATCAACTACAATACAAACCAAACATGTTCAAAATAGCAAATAAAACATCGATACAACTAAAATAATAACTTACTGCAATGGCACGTAGTTCGGGCTTTCCTCTCTGATCTACTTGTCGCTCACCATCACCCCCACCAATCTCACTATGACTATCATCAAAAGGTAAAGGCTCCGATTCCTTTAATGCATCGATGCTCATGTAGCATTTTCTGAATTTAGCTGCCATGGTAGGAACCTTACCAATTTCTGAACATGTATAAATAATATAAAAATAATTACACCCTTATAATAAATCTTAAAATATATACAATCACACATATTCAAGATCACTTACATGTTTATGAGACCAACCGGTGATACTAGTTCGACCCCAATGGTGTTTGGTTGCAATTGACTTTCGTGCTTCGCGACATTTTTGAGATTTAGACTAATAATAATAGCACATAAGTTACTATATTTTGATGCAATGCATAAATCATATAATGATATTAATTAATAAGAATTACAAATTTACCTTCGCATCACTCCCTGACTCATTCATAGCAATAAATTGATCGCACAATTGACCCCATAAATCATCGCTAATAAAGCCCTCCGGACGAGTTTGTCTTGCAGTTTCAGGGTCGGGCATGCGATCAAAATGTGCCTTTAAAACCTAGACTTGAAGCCCTTCCAACGAGCATTTGCAGTCTTGTTGAACCACTTCTTTGTAGAATCATTATCGGGAAGATTATATTTATCCTAAGAAAAATAAAAATAACATTAGGTAATTTGAAAAAATAATTTTGTCGATTGTTATACGAGAATTTTAATACCATTTACCTTGAACCGTGCCCAAAATTCATCCACGCGTCCATCCTTTTTATGTGTGGGCCATGAAATACACGGATTAAAGAGGTCATACTGTGTAACCTGTTTAGCAAGCTCATTTACCAATACTGTCCTCCCGGGCAAAACAAATTTAGAAAATTTTAATTGAAAAACCATTGCGACGCAATAATGTTTAAAAGTCGCCAATTTTCCAATCACCTTGCGTCGTTTCTTATCGTCGCAAATATTATTAATTAAAAAAAATAAAAAATATTTTTTTTCTCTTGCGACGAATATTTACATTCGTCGCACCTTTGCGACGTATATAAGAGATTCATCGTCTTTTCTTCAAGAAACTTTTCGTTTTCAAGTTTGCGATGATTTCGGCGGCGTAATTTAGAATCGTCGCAATATTTACTCATTTTTTTGGAATTTGAATTTAAATTGTGCATTATTGCGACGATATGTTAAGAAAACGTCGCAAAGCGAGCGACGTTTACATTATCGTCGCAAAAAAATGTCGCCTGAAATGAAATTTGGCCTAGTGTGACCATAAAAATTCAATTTTGACTTTTTTTTTTCAATATTTTTTTTTGCCGCCGGTTTCTGGCGTTGACTTTTTAATTTTTTTTACGTCCGCCGCTAAACGTTGACCGTAATTGTGCTGTCACTGACACCAAATTAAAGTAATTATACTGTCAATGACAGTTAATTAACGTAATTGTACTGTTGTTGACAATACATTTATTTAATTGTTCTGCCGTTGATAGTAAGTTAACGTAATATTATTATTTTTTATTTTTTGTTATTTTTATTTTTATTTTTTTGATTTGTTGACAACTCAACGTAATTATATTATTGTCGTTGACAGTAAAATAATTGTAAACACAATTGAATAATTTGAAAAATTTGGGTTCAAATTGATGTTAAATTAAACTAAGGATGAAATTGGAGCATATTAAAGTATGATGGACTATTTTAATCTTTTACAAAAATCTGAACCATGTGTGAACTTATTTGTAAATGAGTTTTTTGTCTGAATCTCTTTATGAATAAGTAACCATTGATGGGCTTATTTGTAATGACCCCTAAAAAAAAATATAACAAATATTTAAGGAGCGGGGTTATAGTTGTCTTTTACAATTTTTAGCTAGGGGGACTGTTTAATAATTACAGTTTTTACCGGGAGGGTTGTGCAATTAAATAAATAGATTCTGTTAAATTCCCCAAGTTATAAATTAGAGAGTTCAAACCCGAACAAACTCTAGTTATCCCGCTCTAAAAAACTTAGTTGTTTCGAAGTTTTTTAAATTTTCGATCAGTTTTTAATTTTCCGATCAGTTTTTAATTTTCCGATCAGTTGTTTTTCCGATGGATGAGAACCAAGATCCA